TTGGAATGCTAACGGCCTACATAAGAATGAAGTACAACAATTCCTACTACTTCAGGGAATTGATGTACTACTTGTGTCTGTAACGCACAATAAAGAATTGTTTCAGAACTACTAACTAACTAACTAACTAACTAACTAACTAACTAACTAACTACTAACTAACTAACTACTAACTAACTAACTAACTAACTAACTAACTACTAACTAACTACTAACTAACTAACTAACTAACTAACTACTAACTAACTAACTAACTAACTTACTAACTAACTAACTAACTAACTAACTAACTAACTAACTACTAACTAACTACTAACTAACTAACTAACTAACTAACTAACTAACTAACTACTAACTACTAACTAACTAACTAACTAACTACTAACTAACTAACTAACTACTAACTAACTAACTAACTAACTAACTAACTAACTAACTAACTACTAACTAACTAACTACTAACTAACTAACTAACTAACTAACTAACTACTAACTAACTACTACTAACTAACTAACTAACTAACTAACTAACTAACTAACTAACTAATAACTAACTAACTAACTAACTACTAACTAATCTAACTAACTACTAACCTAACTAACTAACTACTAACTAACTAACTAACTAACTAAACTAACCTACTACTACTAACTAACTAACTAACTAACTAAATACTAACTAACTAACTAACTACTAACTAACTAACTAACTAACTAACTAACTAACTAACTACTACTAACTAACTAACAACTAACTAACTAACTAACTAACTACCTAACTAACTAACTAACTAACTAACTAAACTACTACTACTAACTAACGAACTAACTACTAACTAACTAACTAACTAACTAACTAATACTACTAACACTAACTAACTAACTAACTAACTAACTAACTAACTAACTAACTACTAACTAACTAACTAACTAACTAACTAACTAACTAACTAACTAACTAACTAACTACTAACTAACTAACTAACTAACTAACTAACTAACTAACTAACTAACTAACTACTAACTAACTAACTAACTAACTAACTAACTAACTAACTAACTAACTAACTAACTAACTAACTAACTACTACTAACTAACTAACTAACTAACTAACTAACTAACTAACTAACTAACTAACTAACTAACTAACTAACTAACTACTAACTAACTAACTAACTAACTAACTAACTAACTAACTAACTAACTAACTAACTAACTAACTAACTAACTAACTAACTAACTACTAACTAACTAACTAACTAACTAACTAACTAACTAACTAACTAACTAACTAACTAACTAACTAACTAACTAACTAACTAACTAACTAACTAACTAACTAACTACTAACTAACTAACTAACTAACTAACTAACTAACTAACTAACTAACTAACTAACTAACTAACTAACTAACTAACTAACTACTAACTAACTAACTAACTAACTAACTAACTAACTAACTAACTAACTAACTAACTAACTAACTAACTAACTAACTAACTAACTAACTAACTAACTAACTAACTAACTAACTAACTAACTAACTAACTAACTAACTAACTAACTAACTAACTAACTAACTAACTAACTAACTACTAACTAACTAACTAACTAACTAACTAACTAACTAACTAACTAACTAACTAACTAACTAACTAACTAACTAACTAACTAACTAACTAACTAACTAACTAACTAACTAACTAACTAACTAACTAACTAACTAACTAACTAACTAACTACTAACTAACTAACTAACTAACTAACTAACTAACTAACTAACTAACTAACTAACTAACTAACTAACTAACTAACTAACTAACTAACTAACTAACTAACTTAACTAACTAACTACTAACGAACTAACTAACTAACTAACTAACATACCTAACTAACTAACTAACTAAGCTCGTTCAATAGAACTAATGCCCATATAATCCGCCCTGAAATGAAATACAATTCTCTGTATGGGCCCGGTGCTCAAAGTCTATTTTTGGGCTAATCGACCCGCGTACAAGGAGAGGGCGAATGTACTTATCGGTGACAGTAGGGTATTCAGCTCCACCATCGCAATGCGAGGTGTGTTTCACTGTTCTACAGATAATACTTCTGAAATTAGGGAAACTCGTTCCCGAAACTCGCATATTTATGCGTAACTCACGTCTTTCAAAAAAAAAACACACCCATATTTTATGAATTGGCCAGTAGATCGCACAATGCCTTACAGGGAGAATTTGTTCTCAAGTCGTACTGTCCGTATCTGAAACAAACCTTCCCCCCAGAAGTCTTTCATGTCACTTGCAATGTAAGTAAGTCGAATATCCATAAATACTACTCTCTTTATCCTCCTACCCATAGTTCCAAAGCAATACACTACATGAATTGGGATCATCCCCTTAGAGCTGGTCCTAAAAAACCCATATCGAACTTTCTCAGGAATCGCTATATATGAGTTGTTATAGATGGATTTTCAACAAATTACCTTCTATGCCAAACTTCCAATTTATTTTGCATATTATCAATTTAATTATAGAGCAAGCTTTTTGAAGATTACAGCAATGGGACATAACATGATCTTGCTTATACACTAAAAATAATCTATGCTTAATATACACGAAAAATGTTGTGCATTGTACGAAATGATTCGTGGTTTCGCACCACGAAATTCCTTCGTAATATATACGAAATTGTACGAAATATTTTAGTAAAATGCAAAATAATTTTATATAATTTTAGAAAAAAAAATTTTTCATTTTACGATTTTTTTAAAGACATGAATATGTTAGTTCTTTTAAAATAATTATTGTAAATTTAGAAAAAGATTGCGAATTAAAAAAAAAAAATTTTTATGTTTTTTAAAAAAACATAAAAAATTTTACAGGAAATTAGGCAGCTAATTTCCTGTAAATTTAAATTACGTTTAATTTAACTCGCTTAAAATTACGAAAAAAAAACAAAAAAAATCGTAACAAAATAATTTTTTTTTTTTGTGAAATCAAAAATAATTCTTGTACATATATTACTAATTAATTTTGTTACGAAAAAAAATTCATTACTTTCGTTAAATATTACATGTCCTAACAAAATTATTTTTGTAAAAGAAAACAAAGTTTCTTAATATATACGAAAAAAGATATTACGACAGGATTTCGTACTTTCGTAAAATTAGAAAAGGGGTTGATTAAAAAATATTTCGTATTATACACGAAATTTTCGTATATATTACGAAAAAAGTAGTTACGAAATTTTTTTTTCGTAAAGTTAAGCATGGATTATTTTCAGTGTAGATATTAAAACTCATACATTTTTCACCTAAATTGGACAACTTTGTGATCACTTAAGCCCCTCATTGTCATGTAATTTTTACTGGCTACGCAAGACTCTATTCTCTCGATAATACAATATTTCTCTACAATAAGAAAACTTGTTACCGATTCCTGCAGTTTTATGCGTAACACACGTCACCCATTTCAGACGGGTGACGTTTTTTAAAAATGTGGAAATGATCACCCTATAATATTACTAACATCTAAGCAAAAACATTTAACATTTTACGATTAACATTGGTTGCGTATGATTATTTTAATATAAATATAAAGTACTCATACGCTATGGACACCACACTTTATTGGTTGAATGGTTAATACAACTTGTGGCGTATACGTAATATTTAATTATTAATTGAAATAAAACCCATACGCTACTATTAGAACTATGTAATATGATTATGTATTTAAAAAAAATAAAAAAATTAAAAATTAATTTTATTTAAATATGTATGAATGTAGCAGTGAAATCATGTGTGTGAAAAACAAAACTTTAATTCAAAACAAATAAAGGTCATTTTCATACTATTTTCTATTTACAATAGTTTGTGTGTGATTTTAAAATCAATAATTTTTTCTCCTTTTTTTTACATTTATTTGCAAAATGAATTTCAGCGGAAATAATAAACACACATGTGCGCAAATAATCAGCAATTCATTACAAAATACATATTGTGAAAATTAAGTAAACTATAAAAAACAACAACAAAGAAATTAAAAAAAAATAAAAATGAAAACTAAAATAGAAAATAATTTATTAATTAATTGATTACGAACCAAGCCCTGAAACCTTAAAATATAAAAAAACACACAAAAACTAGTGATGTAAAAATAGAACAAAATGACAATAAGAACAATAACAACAAATATTATGTAGTACATATATAATTCAAATATTTGTTAAGAAGACACCGTAATTTATAAACGTCAAATGCTGGCTGGTACCACAACAGCAGCAAATAAATACCGCTTACACACATTAAAGTGTAAAGGAAATACGAAAAAAACAACAACAAAATGTTAGGGAACTGTTTAAGAGAAGAGCATAGACAAGAAAATAAAATAAAAAATAAAACGACTGACTCCACTTAAATACTTTGGGTATAAATTTGAGTTTCTGGCTTAATGCTGCTTATTATATAAGAAACAACGAGGAACATATTGTACATTTGTTGTCTGTTTAAATGTTGATTTACACAGATACTTACAGAAAATATAGTAAAAAGAACACATGGGTTTAAAAAATTAGGGGCAGATTTTTTCTTTTAGTTTTTAAAAAATTTTACAAATTTGGTTTGTAAGGTATGAAAGGTTTCTTAGGACAGTAAATTTTTATAATTTTTTGGACTCTGCATCTATTTTGCTAACCTCAAGTGTTTATAAGTAAATAAATATAAAATATTGTTTTGTAGATGTGTGTTCATAAAGTATACTGATGATAAAAACACACACAAAAATATTTTTCTTAATTTTGCTTTTCATTTTAAACATAAAAATAGAGAAAATAAAAACAACAACTAAGTTACTTACTTTGATTTCTTTCTTTAATTTATTTTTATTTTATTTCCTCTTTTATTTTGGCAGTTTTAGTAAAAGTAATAGTTGTTGTCTTGCTGTTACTGCTGCTGTTGCCTAACGTTGTTGTTGTTATGTTTTTATATTAATTCTGCTGTTTTTTTATAGCAAATAGTCTGAGTGATTGGTAGACAGGCAGGCAGTTTGTGTTTGTGGGTTAAAGAAACAAGTTATGAATGTTTAAGTTAAATTATAAAGAAAATTTTAGTTTTCTTATTTCTGTCGAGTAGAAAATTTAAATTGAATTTTATTTAAACGGAAACCGCATGTTAACGCACGCATACACTTTAAAGGCTTTTACGTGCACAAACACATACACACTCAATCGTTGGCTTACTCAATCACGATAACCGTTACGTCTAGAGATAAAAAAACAAACAAATGTAAACCGAATGCAGGCATTTAAACATTTAAATACAAACTAACTGTATATAAACATATGTATGTATGTATGCCTGTGTGTGTGTTGTTTATATTTGTTTTGTATGTGAAGAGTACAATTTGAAATATTTAAACACACCACATTGACCACCTCTGGTAGTCAGTCATTGACAGGAAAAAACAAACACATACACACATTAAATATAACACAAACACAGTTATACAATTAACAGCAGAATGACGATGATGATGTTGTTGTTATTGGCGATGAGGTTGATGTTTTTGTTGTTCTTGATGATCTAGTTGTTATTATTGCTTTTCGATGTTTTCGGCTTCGTTTTGGCTATAAACAACTGTTGTTGTTGTAAATAGTTGTACATGTTAAAGCATGCACTTTTATTTATTCATTTAACACATTTTAAATACACACACAGATTTCTTTAATTTTTCACTTTTAAAGGTTTTTTAATTAAAAATTTTCTTATTTTTATGTAGTTTTCTCTTAATTGCTTTATATCTTCTTACTATTTATTTGTTTATTTGACTTTCTTTTAATATATTTATTGTGAAAGTTGGAGGTTTCACTGAAATTCTCCTCAGCCTGCAATTTTATAGTTGTTAAACAAATGGTTTACAAAAATTATATTTTCTGTTAAGAAAATTCTCTTTAAAAAAGGCAAAAAGCATATCTATCATTGACTCTTTAAGAAAATAGTAACTATTTAAAATAATACTATACGATTTCATAGATCTTAAAAAACCGTTACATTTTGAACCGAACATTACTCTCTCTCTCTCACTAAACAAATTCAATGTGTCAAATGTATCTTCGAATTGACTTAAACCTGGCAACTGTAGGTTGATTACAATAAGTATATTATCGGATATAAGAAAATCTATAATCTGTTGCCGTTGGAGCTGATTGGCCCAATAAGGCTGAAAACCTATAGAAATTCTAGAACTGATTGCCCCAAATTTATTAGTTTCATTGAAGTTTTACCATCTGCGCTTTCTATCTCGACCCAAAATGACTAATTACAATCTTTTATTGGCAATATCTCTTGAATACTTTATATCCGACAGGTTTACGATAATATTCACTATACAACCTACACTCAATAGGATGATGATTGATGATTGATTCATTGAAGTCTTACCATCTGCGCTTTCCATCATCGACTTTGAGGAGTCTATGCAACAATAATAATGGAATATCTGACTTGCAGATAAGGAAAGGATGGAGAGGATAGACTTAAGTAAGTCGATTTGGACTGCTCAGTGATATTTCTACATTTGACTCTAAGATAAGTTTTTGTGTGAGTATTTTAACTTTAATAATCTTGTAGACTTCTTTGGGCAAAGAAGCGTTCATTGTGCTATGAGTACTACGACAACGTAGTACGTTGATAGATAATCCACCCATTGAAACATACAGCTCATAACATTAGGCAAACTAACCATAAGCGATTAAAGGATACGCCGTCAATGTATACTGGACAAATTGGAAGGTTATACGCAATGATCGTATGTGACCGATCGCATATCTGACACAGAATGCGTCATGACTGATCCAAGGTAGAACGGCATGATCCAGCGGAACATTAGTGAAAATTTCAGTAGGAATCCGTTCCTACTCGGATGCCTTTACATTGGACGACAAAGTGGGTCTGGGGTTCTATATTGAAGACTCAGAAACTGGCTTCCAGACATAATTCAGAGCAATAACGGAATGCGTAAATTGGATTATTTTTGTATTGTAAGAAAGCTCTAACCGAATGTTCTCCCAGAGGTAAGGCTTACATATGGGTACCAAGACACTTAGGAATAGTCGGACGAAAGAGCGAATGTAATAGCATTATAGCGAAAGAAGTTTTAGATTTTTATCCTGATAAATTGAAAACCATTTGAAGTAACGAAGGCTGAATGAATAATATGGCGAGAGAATCCCATAAGGCCTTCTGAGATAATAAAACAGTAGGTAGAACTACAAATATCCTGTGGGGTGACCCTAACGAGAGTACGATGAGAAGCCTCCTCAAAATGAGCAAGTCTGAGGTTAGTATGATGGTAACTATTCTGAGTGGACACACATTACGGGCACAGCTAAATAAAATTGGACGTGCGTATTCAGACGAATATAGAACATGTAGAGCGGAATGAGAACCCCAAATGTCAAGCTTTCACCGAAATTAGATCGAAATATCTTGGGAGTGAAATTATTCCGGATGTAACATCCTTTACGACCACTGATTGGAAAATTCTTAAGAATTACGTCCAGGAAACTGAGTTTTTTAACATTCTACAATAAGACATTCAGTGAATGTTTTTACCAACAAACATTTTCCATGAAAAGGAGCGCAGAACAGGCTTGAAAGTGGACTAGGTGTATTTCTTCGGAATTGCTGCAGTATACATCCTCCTATCAACCTAACTTAAGTGTAAGTGCTCTAGAATATTTCAACAATTAGATTAATACAGTCCAAGTAAGAAAGTATAAAAAAGTGAAAAGAGACAAAGATTAAGGTAGATAAGGCTTAAAAGAATCTAGGGAACAGTTCAGCAGAGATTTATAAAATACAAGTGCATACGCCTACGGAGGATATTTTTAAGGACACATTTGAGATTGTAGAAATTAATGCTCTAAATGAAAACAACAAAAAACTGGTTGATTTTTACGCCAGCTATGGCAGGTTATTCGCCGAGATGGTGAAAAAATGTCTTTTCTTTATCCCTGTCCTTGCAATTGCGATGGAATTCGTTTAAGGATATACCAAGCTGACTGCGCGCCGGGCATGTTTCCTTGATTATAGACCGCATCTTGGTGTATTGCAATCCGGGCGAAAAGAGGTGATGTCACTTCACTCCTCGGCTAGTCCTTGGTATGATTTAACATGGGGTCTAACCAGAGAACCACATAATCTGGTACTACAGGTGGTTAGTTGACCGCAGGACTATGTCCTGGCTGGTCAGTTGGTTGAGGTTTCTTCGGGATCCACGTAGTGGCTATGATTTAAACCAAAATTCGCGGGAAGAGTAAGCGGCGGTTAAAAGACTAAAGTAAGGTAAAGTCAATATTTCGGTATAAGTTCGGTGCTGTTGCCGAGAACAACAGATACCCCACAGAGGAGTGACTGTGGGACTAAGCGTTGGAAATAAGTTGGCGTTAATTGTATATGGTACGGGATGAATGTGGTTATGCGGGCCTCACCCGTTTTTCTCTTATGAGTGTGTCGGATGAATAAGAAGTGTGCAGGGCTGAATGATGATGGAAAATAGGTATCATATACAAATGATACCATTGAATTTTCCTTCCTTGTCCAGATATGTTAAGAGTAAACTCGTTTCATATCAGAATTACCACAGTGTGTCACTGTGAGAAAGAACAAAGTCTCGGCTTATTTTATGGATTCGTACTTCAGTCTACTGATTACGTCTCTAGGTATTGTTGCTGATTCAACAGAGGCCATCCCATCTGCGTGGTTGTAAACGGAAGTGATGTTTTACATCAATGGTCAGAGATAATATAGCTAAAATACTTGAGCAAAGTGCGCGTATATTGGACCGGCATCCATATACGTAAATTGCCACCTGCGTGTAACAAACACAATGGGCGGTGGTGAGTCGTCACAAAGCTCACCCAGTGGTTGAAAAAGACCACTTCGACATTAATACCAAGCTGACTTGCAAGTCTACCTAGGACCCAGAGTCCAGTTATTACTGACAACAACCTTGATATACATATCTCGTTTATATCAGGTTATAAATTGCCTAGCACGTTTCTAATTGCAAGAAAGCCACATTATTTTGGCCACTTTACATGTTTTCAGATTATTCCAAATATTTTCAGCCTTTTGAAGAAAGAACTTGAAGAAGAAGAAGAACATTTAACAAATTTCAACGGAGTTGCTACTGAAACGGCATTGAAGGTATCCAAAGTAGATCCCGTTTTATTACGATTACCAGCTACAAAACTCATAAATTAAAGGAAGGACAGTGGACACAGTCCCACATGAAATTATCGTTACTATCGATGTTCGACATCCAAATTTCTGTGACAATTAAAGAGAGAATTAATTGACTGGTGAATTCTATGCAGAAGGCATCGACTAATACCATAGAATGCCAATTCTCTCATTCACCACATTAACTGTGAACTAAGTAATATTATGGACTAGAAAAAACGAAAAAAGTTCTAATTTGTACTTTTTGACAGAAAATATTAAAGTTCAGGATTTGGACCGCTTCGACTAAAATATAGTTTGAGAATTTCCAGGGAAGGTAAGTTTACCTCTAGCGAGAAGACCTATCGTTATCTATTCTGGTGGAAGACGGTGGAAACCAAGAAACAAAGACTAGCTTGTTTTGTTATGAAAAGAACAAACTGGGTTGCAAATACTAACCCTCGGAATGACATCATCTCAGTCTAAACTGGCGGTTCAAAAACTCTTATGGGAACTTTATCTGATTTGCTTGATCTCATTAGATTGCTTTATGTCTGTACTGTTCTTCAGGTTGAAATTGTAAAGTTTGTTAACAACCTACGTTTCACCTTATCTTTCTCTGGTGGTGGAAATAGTCGTATCTGCAACGTATTTGCAAACATGCCTTCGGAATCCGACAACTGAATCTCGTCGACCATTAGCATTCTGTAACGAACATAATAAAACCAAATTTACATCCTGTTTCAACTCTGGCGACGCTTTGTCAAATATGGGTTCCATGACTTCAGACATTCGGGAAAATGAAATTGTCAACGAATGTTACGTCCCTATGTTCTCTCAATTTCCAACTCTGATGAAATGACGCATTCGGGGAAAGAAAATGATCATCCATGGAAGAAACAGTTTACCAAAGAATGTTGATATTCCACTGACCGCGATATTTAACATGATCGTCACTGCAGACGTTGTTTAGAAGAAGAACAACCTAAATAACAGCATTAGTTTGTTGTAGGGGGACTGACTCCACTTACAGTTACAAACCGCCCAAATTAGAGAGGAACGCGTGTTTTCTCGATAAATTCTGAGAGTCCCATATAAGTAAATCTACTTAACATATCACAATGTTCATATTCAATTGCTCTTTTTTAGCTATTTCTTCAAGTTTCCAGTTAGAAAATTCTCAGCATAACTAGTTTTCTAGTCTACCAGTCCAGAGGTCATGGGTTTTATTGCCACGAAAGACTCTGCTCTAACACTTTTATATATGAATTGGAAGTGTTCGATAGTTAATTCAGATTTACAACTCAAATGACTTTAGGGAATATATGTTTTTTGTATCGGTTTAAACTTATATAGTTTGATATATAATTTTATTTGCTAAATTTACAATGATACACTGAAATCAGTAGATTACTTATCAGTTAAGAGTTTTATTGCATAATAACGAATAAGAATAAAAATGTATTATAAAAGCCTTAATTATTCCCAGATTTTGAAAACCTTACATTCTTACAAAAGCCAATTAACTCATCAAATAAGTAAATGTGTATTTTGGGAATTGTCATTAAAATACCCAGTAATGTAAAAGTACAAATAGAAATAGTAAAAATTCTCTCACAAATGCAATAAAATATAAAGTTCAAAATAAACAAATGAATAA